TAATATAATTATAAAATACCATAAGTAGGTCACAGTGACCTACCTTTTTATTGAATTTTTTTGAGGACTCAAGATACATTAATTGACAAAAACTTATGATTCTTATTAAAGAAGTACCTGAGATATTCAGAAGTAGGTCACCATGACCTCCTTTTGGTCAACATTCTCTGAAAACCCAAGATGCATCATCTGACAATGTTTGACGATTCTAAGCCAATTAGTATCAGAGATAATTACATATAACCATCAAATGTCAAAAGTAGGTCACAGTGACCTACTTTTTGGTCAACGTTATCCAAAAACCCAAGATGCCTAAACTGACAAAATTTGATGATTCTAAGCCAATAAGTACCTGCGATATTCAAAAGTAGGTCACTATGACCTACTTCTTGTTGGACATTCAATGAAACTGAAAGATGCCTCAACTTACAAAGTTTGATGATTTTGAGCCAATAAGTACCAGATATAATTAAATATAGCCATAAATTGTCAAAAGTATGTCACAGTGACCTACTTTTAGGTCGACATTCTCCGAAAACCCAAGGTGCCTAAACTGACAAAGTTTGATGATTCTAAGCTAATATGTACCTGAGATATTCAAAAGTAGGTCACCGTGAACTACTTTTTGGTCGACATTCTCCCAAAACCCAAGATGCCTCAACTGACAAAGTTTGATGATTCTTAGCCGATAAGTTCCTGAGATACTTAAATAAAGCCATAAAATGTCAGAAGTAGGTCACTGTGACCTACTTTTTGGTCGACAATCTCCGAAAAACCCAAGATGCATCAACTGACAAAGTATGTGATTTTAGGTCAATAAGTACCGGAGATACATAATTATAGCAACAAAATGTCAAAAGTAGGTCACCATGACCTAATTTTTGTTCCTCGCACTCCGAAAACCAAAGATGCATTAACACACAAAGTTTGATGATTCTAGGCCAATAAGTAACAGAGATATTTAAATAAAGCCATAAAATGTCAAAAGTAGGTCACCATGACCTAATTTTTGGTCGTCACACCCCGAAAACCAAAGATGCATCAACTCACAAAATTTGATGATTCTAAGCCAATAAGTACCGAAGATAAAGCCATAAAATGTCAAAAGTAGGTCACCTTGACCTACTTTTTGGTTGTCACTCTCCGAAAACTAAATATACATCCACTCACAAATTTTGATGAACTATCTAAGATACTTAAATATAGCCATGAAATGTCGAAAGTAGGTCATCGTGACCTAAATTTTGGTCGACATTTTCCAAAGACCCAAGATGCATCTACTGACCAAGTTTGATGATCGCAGGTCTGAAAGTAATCAAAATATGCATTTTAAACAATTTAAAAACAAATGTCAGTAAAATTCAAAAAGTAGGTCACAGTGACCTACTTTTTCAAAAATATGTTTTAAGGTCCCAAGATGCATCAAATTACAAGATTTGATGATTCTAAACCTCCCATTGTCTGAAATAATGGGATTTAATGTTTTTAAAAGGATCAGTCATAGAGTTCAAAAAGTAGATCATGGTGACCTACTTTTAAGTTGACATTGTTAGAGGACCCAAGGTGCATCAACTGACAAAGTTTGATGATCATAAGCCTTAAAGTGTCCAAAATATGCCTTCAAATCAATTAGAAAACAAATCCCCGCAAAATTTAAAAAGTAGGTCACGGTGACCTACTTTTGAGCTACAGACCCTAAACTGTGCTACTACACCACTAGAACGGTACGGTTCGGTATGCTTGGTGCACGGAACGGTACGCTTTGTGAATGGAACGGTTCGTTTTGAGAACGGTACGGTACGTTTGTGCACGGAACGGTTCGCTTTGTGCACGGAACGGTACGCTTTGTGCACGTAACGGTTCGCTTTGTTGACGGTACGTTTCGTTTCTTGCACGGAACGGTTCGTTTTGTGAACGGTACGCTTTGAGAAACAGTATGCAAATGACGTGGGCGGAGCCTATTAGCTTTAATTCTTGATTGGTTGCTAAAAATTTATTTTTTTTAATGACTTTTGAAGTACTCAATGCACGTATATAATTATATTTCAGCTATTAACAAATTAATTTCTCGGTTTCAGTTTAAACAATTAACACTACAGCGGTGATGGAGGAAAAATGAAAAAAAAAATGAAAGGAAGAAAAAACATCATCCCACCGATGTCTTTGGCATAAAGTATAGATATGTATTAATATATATAGAACTGGTAAATATTTCCGTACTTAATTTTTACGTATGCTGAACCTTCATTTTAAAAATGAAAAAAAAAATCAAGGAAATATTTTTCACTTTAAAATAAAGTTGTAACATAATTAAAAGGAATTAATATATACCGGGTATATACTTATTTTATACATATAACGCTATATGCACATACATGTATATAAATTATTTGTAATTCATTGATCTATAGAAATAAATATGACCATTCCTGCTTCATTTTTATTCCTTGTAATCAGATATGTAATTTTTTTTAATTGTAGATCAATCGCTAAAACGTTTGCTTCAGAAGAGAAATATCAGTAAATAAATAAATACAAAAATCAGCAGCAGACACACGAAATTAATTCAATATCTTCCGAGCTCTTTCTCGTAACAAAAACATTCTTTTCACAGTCAAGTATTTATGTTTTCAATAATTCTTTCAGTGTATTGAGTATAATTATTTTTAGAAGTTTTTCTTTATTTTATTAAGTCATTCTATTCTTGTAAAGTCTGTAAAAACAATGTCGTGAGAGAGAGAGAGAGATGCAAACATTATCTGTAAAAAAAAATAACTTGTATTTATTCTCATTCTTCGTTTTATTTACATCGCCAAAGTCACAATTAATCAGTCTACCATAACCTACATGTATTTACAACTATTGTGCAATGAATAATCCGTTCTTTGTACATGCATGCTGCAAGCATGAAATCCTCGTGCATCACCTGTCAATCAAAATGGCATGACGCTAGGTGACCCTGAAAGTCTGTTTACGCAGGAAGAATTTCTTCTGTGATTTGAAACATTCTTATGGTCAGTTCAGTTCATAGTTCACACTCGTCTAAAAACAAGAGGCCCACGGGCCTTATAGGTCAACTGAGTATCATGTAACAACTTTCCAGTGATTGTATTTGGTTCGTTTTTTAATCCAAAAGCCATGAAATTCACAAATATTGAAGAGGCACCATTGCTTATCAAAGGGCAGATTTCAAAGCATTAATCTATTTTTAGTTAAAGTACCCCCCTGGTACCCCTGACCCAGCGGCCCTGAAATTATCTATTTTGAAAGAGGCCCCTTTCTTCATTATCAGGCCAGCATCTTTTTTTGTTTAGGTTTAGTTATGAACATGAGAATAAAAATGTCCTGAAGGAGAAGGAAATTAAAACTTTTTTTTGATAAATCAATTATTAACATTTGTACATTCTTTTTTTATGCTATTCTAATAGGCTCCTTACCACTGGACACATAATGCTTACAAATAATGCTTACAAATAGGAAAGTAGAACATTCAATTGCTTATTTCATCATCTGCCAGTTTGGGCCAGTTATATAAATTTTGTGATGTTGGTCAAAATATATTTTAATAAATCAATTCTTTAAAAGTCTTTCAATATGTCCTCATTTTTTAAATCTGTGTTAGGTGAATGTGTAGACATTGTTCAAAAATTTACTTGATGCCTAAAATTCTTTCTCAAATGGTTTTAACTTCTCCCATAGTTTTATTCATTACATCTTATGCATAAGCAACCCTTTTCTGAAGATTTTTTTTACAAATATATATATAAATTAAATATAATATATTAAATTTCATTTTATTTAGTAAATTATCTTTTTTCAGACACTAATAAAAATGTTTCCTGTTGATTATGATTTTTTTTTAAATTAACAACGTACCATTTTGCAGACTTCTAAAGAACTTTTAACCAGATAATTTGTATTGCTTTCTAGAAAGGGAATGGGGGGTACCGTGTAACAAACCTTATAACATTTTCATTTTTCGCAATTTTTTTTTCATTTTTCATAAGATGTATTTCAGAATGAAGTAATATTTATACTGCAGTTTGCACATTTTATTTGCAAGAAATTCGGCTGGCGATTTTTGTATGCAGCGTGAAAGTTGATCACAGTTTTATAAGTAAGATTATCATCTTTGTCTGTTCAGTAGAAATCTTCATGTTTACCGCATGTAATATTTTAATCCATATTTTACATGACTACAGATTTTCAGTGCAAGTATAACTGCACCAATAATTCGCCTATAGTACATGTAAGAATCTCAAAAGAATTAATGTGAGAGTCTAATACGGATCTTTTTTTTTAAATTTGACAGTTTATATATATTTTAAAATTCTTACAAAATAATTCATTATTAAATTCACGCATCTGATATGTACTGTAGATATGAATGCATACTTACGGCAAAAACGATCTTGTACAGTACGCTTTGTGCACGGTACGGTACGCTTTCTGTACGGAACGGTACGTTTGTTTCTGAGGTGTAGTAGCACGGTTTAGGGTCTGTTACATGATGTGAAGTCGCAAGATGCATCAACTTACAAGATTTGATGATCCTGGTCCTTATAGTAAGCAAATTATACACGTTTGTATTAATTGTAAATTTAGGTCAACTTTGAAGTGAACTTGAGACCACGCTCTTTGCCCCAGGGTAATTCCCCGTGCAAATATTAATCTATGACATATTCTGATCTTTGTATGTAAGTTTGGTGAAAATCTGCCCAGTGGTTATGGAGAAGAAGATTTTTTAGCAACCAGTACTTTTGGTTCTATTTTCCTGATTATCTCCCCTTGTTTAAGGGTCCCAACCTTTATTTTAGTACAAATGGTAGCCCTTGGGCCAAGGATACTCTGGGACAAAGTTGGTACTGATTGGCCAAGGGGTTCTTGAGTTATGGCCCATATTCTAAAAAGTTTACCCACACCGCACAAATGGCCATAGCATTAGTTCTTTGAGTCTTTGGCTCAGAAGAGCTAAAAATACATATTTCATAGTATACAACCTCTGTTTGTCCATCCCCCGTAAATGGAGCCTTCCTGACAACACACTTCTTCTCCAACCTTATCATCAAACTTCTTCTCCATATTCAGCACCAGAATGAAGAATGCCCGGGGACTCAGAAAAATCTGGTGTGAGGCATAATATGAACACTGTCCTGCAAAGTCAGTCATGGTTATTTTTTTATCTCGATCTTCTGAAATGTCTTCTGCACCAATTTGCAAATTTCCAGAAATTTCTGAACTATGAGGAATATCTTTGCTTTCCCTCACAACTTCTGCTACATTTGATGACTTTGCCCCGCGTTGTTCATTAGATGAGGCAGTTTGAGTCATGCTAACATTGGTATCTACATGTGATATCTGGCTTCTGTTTGATGCTTCAATCGTATTGCCCTCTTCATCAACTCGTTCCACCTTTTCCTGCGTTATCCCATAATCAGCTGCATTCTCTGATTTATGTTCAGAAACGCTCTGTTTCAGATCTTTTTTATCAAGTCTAAGTTTGAAGTGTTTTTGTTGACTTGAAAAATTAACTGCGAAAAAAAATACAGAAGTATCTGTTGAGACTGAAGGTCTACTGTTTGTACTTAATATAATGAAGGGAAAAAAGTAGCAGTTGGGACTTGATGATCTTTGATTAAGTCTCTTTGTGGCAATACATTGCAATAAGACTGCAACTGTAGAATTAGCTTTTAATAAAATTTCACAGTATTTTCAATTTTAGTTACCATGGCAAAATCATTCATCAAAATAAGAACAAGAGGCCCAGGGGCCACATCGCTCACCTGAGCTGTTGAGAATAACCTGGCTAGGAAAATCAGATCAGAACTGAAACAAGAGGCCCACGGGCCTTATAGGTCACCTGAGTATTGTGTAACAACTTTCAAACTTTCAAATTTGATTCGTGTTTTAAACCAGAGGCCATGAAATTCACAATTTACAATTTTTAAAGAGGCACCATTGCTTATCATAATTATTAACTTAGCATGTTTACTCCATTTACTTAATACCCAGAGGTATATCAGAGTAACAAAGAGAAAATGCACTTCCACTTTATACCCAGTTGTGCACCTCACCCTAAAGGAACCAGTGACCAATGGGCCACATATTCAAAATTTTACAAATTTATCATAAAATGGTTGATTAAAACTGAAGAGCAGATTTCAAAGCATTAATTTATTTTCAGACTATGTACCCCCCCCCCTCTGACCCTGGGGGCATAAAAAAAAACACTTTGCTAGATGCACCTTTTTTCATCATAAATATATTGGCATAAAACCCAGAAGCAAAGGAAAATATTTTCAAAGAAATTATTTTTACTACTGAGTATATAATCAATAGAGCCACGCCCTAACACCAGAACCCCTAATCCTGGGGCCATAAAATTCACAATTTTGGAAGAGGCACTCTTGCTCATCATAACTATGTGCTTAGTTAGTTTATTTAATACCCAGAAGCAGAGAAGAAGATTTTCAAAGAATTAATGCATTTTCACTATATAATCAATAGAGCCCCGCCCTAACACCAGAACCCCTGACCCTGGGGCCATAAAATTCACAAATCTGGAAGAGGTGCTCTTGCTCATCATTACTATGTACTTAGTAAGTTTATTTAATACCCAGAAGCAGTGAAGAAGATTTTCAAAGAATAAATGCATTTTCACTATATAATCAATAGAGCCCCGCCCTAACACCAGAACCCCTGACCCTGGGGCCATAAAATTCACAATTTTGGAAGAGGCACTCTTGCTCATAATAACTATGTGCTTAGTTAGTTTATTTAATACCCAGGAGCAGAGAAGAAGATTTTCAAAGAAATATTGCATTTTCACTATATAATCTATGGAGCCCCGCCCTAGCACTAGAACCCCAGACCCTGGGGCCATGAATTTCACAATTTTGGTAGAGGACTCAATGCACATTACATTCATGCCAACAGATTGCCTGCTTGATGTCCAGGAGTAAAGAAGAAGATTTTTAAAGATTGCAATCATTTTAGTGGTTTTGGCCCCACCCCTCAGGCCCCAGGGGAGCGGGGACCATAAAATTCACAATTTTTGTTTCCCTTCACCCATAGATGCTGTATACTAAATTTGGTTGAAATTGGTTCAGTGGTTTCAGAGAAGAAGCTGAAAATGTTCAAATGTTAACACACGACACACGACGCACAACACACGACGCACGACTCACGACGACGGACGAAAACGGATAGCAATAGGTCACCTCAGTTACTCAGGTGACCTAAAGAGAGGTGTATGTGTGTGGGGGGGGGGGGGGGTCCTACCCTCCAAAGGGTCATGATTTGAACAAATTTAAATCTTCAATACATGTGGATGCTTACATTTCAATATGACTAAACATAGTTTTTCTATTCTTGGGATTTTTTTCCTTTACTTTTCTATGTAAAACTTTGATACCCCATTGTGGTCCAACCCTATCCCTGGGGCTTATGATTTGAACAAACTAAAACCTACATGTGTACACTAAAGAGGATGATTCCATATAATTATCACAAATCATGGCTTTAAAGTACTTGAGAAGAAGATTTTAAAAGATTTCCTTTATATATATTCCTATGTAAAACTTTGATCAGCCATTGTTGCCCTACCCTACCCCGGGGATCATGATTTGAACACACTTGAATCTACACTACCTGAGGATGATTCCACATGAGTTTCACCTTTCCTGGCCTAGTGGTTCTTGAGAAAATTTTTTAACAAGAGGCCCATGGACCACAGCGCTCACCTGAGCACATCGGCTAGGAAAAAGCACATATCAGATCAGAACTGAAAGTTTACTGAGGTGATGGTTGGTGGGGGGGGGGGGCTTGAATTTTAACCCCCCAGGGATTCATGATTTGAAGTATAATCTACTCTACCTTAGGATGATTCCATATAAATATAAATAACCATTCCTTTGAAGTACTTGAAAAGATGATTCTAAAAGGTTTCCCAATATATCCCTATGTAAAACTTCGGTCGGCCATTTTGGCCCCACCCTAGCCCCAGGGGTCATGATTTGAACAAACTTGAATCTACACTACCTGAAGATAATTCAACATGAGTTTCATCTTTTCTGTCTTAATGGTTCTTGAGAAGAAGATTTTTAAAGATTTTTCTAATATATTCCTATGTAAAACTTGGGTCGGCCATTGTGGCCCCACCCTAGCCGATGGGGGGGGGGGGGGGGGGGTCATGATTTGAACAAACTTGAATCTACACTACCTGACAATGATTCCACGTGAGTTTCATCTTTCCTTACCCAGTGGTTCTTGAGAAGAGGATTTTTTAAAATTTTTCCTACCCGGTATATATTCCTATGTAAAACTTTGGTCGGCCATTTTGGTCTCGCCCTAGCCCTTGGGGTCATGATTTGAACATACTTGAATCTACACTACCTGAGGATGATTCCACATGAGTTTCGTCTTTCCTGACCTTACTCAGGTGACTTAACAAGAGGCCCAGGGGCCACAGCGTTCATCTGAGCACATCGGCTAGGAAAAAGCACATATCAGATCAGAACTGAAAGTTTACTGAGGTGATGGTTGGGGGTGGGGGGGGGGGGCTTGAATTTTAACCCCCGAGGGGTTTATGATTTGAACTAGAATCTACACTACCTTAGGATGATTCCATATAAATACAGGTAAACTTCGGTATCTCGACATCGGATATGTCGAAAAAAGTGTTTCATCTTTCTTGGCCCAGTAGTTCTTGAGAAGAAGATTTTTAAAACATACCATCAAATTTTCATTATTTCTTAATTATCTCCCCTTGAATAAGGGCGTGGCCCTTCATTTGCACAAACTTGAATCCACTTCACCTAAGAATACTTTGTGCCAAGTTTGGTTGAAATTGGCCCAGTGGTTCTTGAGAAGAAGTTGAAAATGTGAAAAGTTAACAATCAAGGGCATCATGGAAACAAGTTATTTTTGAAATAATTTGTTTCAGTTATTAAATGTCAACATTTTGGGTTATCTTCCCAGGATTATGCTTTTCTTCAGTAACTTAATCCTGTTATTGATACTTTACTACTCATTATTGTAAACCTACTGGCATCTGAAAGGATTTAGTCATGCTGTGCTTGGGTTATTAAGTACTGGTAGATGGTTTCTGACGGTAAAAGTAATCTATCTTTAACATTTAACACATTAAAATTCAACAAATTATAACTTATTTCAATTATTTCATCCTTAACCCACCTCACTTTAAAACTCTTGCACAAAAATCTACAGCTTTGCACAAAAAATGCAAGACATAGAGATTGTACAGTAATATCCAAAGATTATAGGAAAATTAGTCTCAATGCTGGCAAAATTGGCGGAAGATGTGTAATTGACCTCTGAAAAGTTAATGAAATGGAATTATTTTTCCTTGAAAACTATCATGTTATTTTCTTAATATCATCATATCTGCTCAGAAGATATTAAGTTTGTTGAGTCTATTAAAAGAAGTACATATATTTACAATTTTCTTTAGCCTTAAATTATTTTAAATCAGCAGCAATCCCAAAATATTAATGTTTTTTGCTAAACTAATAGGTGTTCTTCTTTTTAAGCATTAACTCAAATGAGTTACTTTTTTATTTAGTAACTGACAAATGAAGTAATATAAACAAGTTATTTTAGAAAATAACTTGATTCCATCATGCCCCTGACTGTAACAACAACGACGATGACAACGACAATGACGACAACGACATACAACGGAAAAATTTTGATCAGAAAAGCTCACTTGAGCCTTTGACTCAGGTGAGCTGAAAATGTCATTAATTTTTCCCTAATTCATTATTATCTCCCTTGGAAAAGGGCGTGGCCCTTCATTTGAACAAACTTGATTCCCCTTCACCCAAGCCCAAGGATACTTTGTGCAAAGTTTGGTTGAAATTGGCCCTGTGGTTCTTGAGAAGAAGATGAAAATGTGTAAAGTTTACGACAACAACGACGACAGACAACGGATAAAATTTTGATCAGAAAAGCACACTTGAGCCTCCGGCTCAGGTGAGCTAAAAAATAAATTGAGCCTTGGGCTCATGTTAAGTTTAGCATGTACTTTGCTTAAACTGTAGTCAGCTTTTAACACATAGTGCACTTGCCTCTGGCTCGTGCACTATGTGTCAAACACTGACTACAATTAAGGCAATCTGAATGCTAAGCACAATGCTATTATATAAGTATCAATTTAACACAGGATCAATGAAAACAAGAGATGTTTGTAAAACACTTATGCCCCCCTTCCCCCAAATTGGAATTTTTCCAAGTCCAAGGGGTATAACTCTGTCAAAAATTATGCGATTGTACCCAAAACAGAACTCGACCTAGATATTTATTTGATATATCTGTATACCAAATTTCATTTCAATATGTATAACGGTTGCAAAGAAAATAAATGGAAATGGCAAATAATTGAATTTTTTCTAAGTCCAAGGGGCATAACTGTCAAAGATGGTGCGATCGTACCCAAAACAGAACTCGACCTTGATATTTATTTGATATATCTGTATACCAGATTTCATTTCAATATGTACAACGGTTGCAAAGAAAATGAAAGGAAACGGCAAATAATTGATTTTTTTCTAAGTCCAAGGGGCATAACTCTGTCAAAAAAGGTGCGATCATACCCTAAACAGAACTCGACCTAGATATTCATGTGATATATCTGTATACCAAATTTCATTTCAGTATGTGCAACGGTTTTGAAGAAAATGAACGGAAACTAAGTGGACCGACAGACCGACGGACCGACAGACCGACCGACAGACAGCAGCAAAGCAATATGCCCTCCCTTCTTCGAAGGGGGGCATACCCTCCCTTCTTCGAAGGGGGGCATAACAAACAATAAACCATACCATGGAGGCTATCTGTAACTTCAAAGACATCTGTGTGGATATCCACTCCTCTGGTTGAGTTGGTATTTTCCTTTATTTCTTTCAGATCGATGCCCTTCAGTCTCTGTAGTAATGTTGTTTTACCACTACCAGCACATCCGATTATCATCCCAGAGGCGTGGTACATCATGGTCTTTCCTTTCTTCAGATTTTCGATGAAATTTTTTACAGATTTGTCTCCCCTCATTATTATCTGAATAGGTACACCGACTAAGAGACAAACATTGAGGCATTATAATACTAACTTAAAGAAAAATAGTCAAAATATAATTACATATATGTACAAACTTAAAAAGAAATATATTCACATTCTTTTTCTCAATTAATAATTACTAAATATATATCATTAATAAAACAAAAATCTGCTAAAACCCTAAACATTTGTCATTAAATATTAAATAAAGAATTCTGAAAATTCCTTGAATGTAGACCTACATTTTCTGAATACAGCTTCATGGAATGACTGGTCCACCATTGTTGGGTGCATGAAAATATCTTGTCCAAGTCTTTTTAAAAACTCTTCATTTTTCTCTGGCAGTAACCAACAGCAAACTTCATCCTCTCCCCTCTGATAATTCCATGATCTATAGAACTCAGCAATGTTTTCTTTGTCTGCCCAAGTCAAGAAAATATCAGTAAAGTTCAATCCAGAACGCTTTGAGAATTTCAGAAAACTAATGTACTTGAAGAGCTCAGTGGAAAAACTGATCTCTGATTCATTGAGTTTTAGAATTGGTTTGTATTTTTCTAAATCTGTAGGAGCAAAAGGCTTTGTGACTTCCTTGGAATTAAAAATGTTGGCAACAGCATTATATTTAGTCATCCAGTTTCCTTCTTTCATGTTTATTTTGTAGAAATTGGAAATAAGAAGGCACATCAATAGTGTATCTCCATCTACAAAATAAAGAAATATATACATATATATATACACAAGCTCGGAAAACACCTTGAATGTATTAACATCACCGGCTATAAAAATTGTTATACAGAATGGAGTAATTTTCCCATCAATTTATATCAGCTTTATACCAATAACAGGTCTCCTTACATTGATTCAAATGTTTCTTAAAGGGCATGATTGTGTGTCAGGGACATCCAGATAACACCTTTAAGCCTATGAACAAAAATTCCTTCAGATTAAAATTGTGTAAATTAGTAAAGCCCTTCATCACATTAAATGAATGTATACTATGGTTAATACACTTCATTCAAGAATTTGATTGAGGTGATTTGTGGCCTTGAACTTGCTAAAGTGACCTTACGTAAAGGTCGACACACATCATCAATGTACCCAGTATATGCTAGCTTTCAGTTCCGTGTTTTCCGATTATGTAGTTTTGGGCTTGAAATGACAGACAAACCAATCGACAACTTGACAGATAAAAAGACAAGGTGATTTTATATACCTCCCAATATTTGGATAAAGACAAACCTACAGGCAACAAGACATCCAATTAAATGGATAGTCTACAAACTCCGTACAGAAGATTATCTCTTGTGTGTTTGGATTGGGTAAATAAAGGCCATTGTTTTAAATAATTTATTGACAATTGAAGCAGAATTGGATCAAATATTTAAAACATATTCCACATGCTAGATACATAAAATTTTTAAAAAACTAATTAAACTATTACCCTCTATCCTGTGAATGTTGTCAAACAATGCCTCTATATCTGTAAGTTGATGTCTGCTGTGATCCTCAGTGCTGTTACACTCCACACACAAGGGAACACCACACGGGGTACAGAACTGGTCCAGGGGAATTCTGGGATGTTTTCTACATTTGATCTTCTCCAGAGGGACTCCTGTTGAAAATTAAAAAAAGAAGTCTTATATATATTGTAAATACTTTTAAAAAATACTGATTAATCTTCACAAAACAATGTCATTTTTGGTACTCCTAAATCAAATATTTATGATATTGGAGTAGTTAAAATGTTTTGAGTCTAAAAAATTTTAGAATCAAATCTTGATATTTATACATTCATTAGAAAAACCATTTGTGATTTTCATTATGCTAATGAATACTAAGAGAGAAAATTTCGTTCTGATAAAACATCGTTGATTTATGATCTCAAATGATTATGTATGGGGATTTCTTGTTTCCAATATTATCATCATTATAACAATACAAAAATATCATAAGGGATTAAATGTCATTGATGACTGCTATCAATGATAAATGCATCCTCCACAATTATTTGATTTTCTACTTCAAAATATGTATTTTTTCATAGGGGTGCTTTTAGTATGACTACAAGATGATGTTCTTTAACTTGCTAACGTAATGTTCCTTGGGTCTCAAATCACCTCAGATCAAATGATGACATTTTAATGTTAAATTGCTTGTTTCCATAAAACCTTCATAATCAACACAATTTGCATCAAAATGTCTTTTGCTAAGTACTGATGACCTTAGCTATACTCACATGACCTTTGTTTAGAGTTATAAAATGCCTTCCAAAGGCTTAACTCCACTGAAAATTCACTGAATACAAACATATATGTGGTTGGACAATGGATCCGATGTAAATTATAAATGAAAACAATCCAAAAATTTTCTCATAAATTAAAATAGATCAGATGAGTTCGCAGTAATGAGAAAATACTGACATAACTTGAAATAGTACAGCCATATATTACCCCCCCCCCTTCTCTAAGCATCTACACTTAGTTCAGTGACAGTGTAAACCACAGAAATCAACCCTACATATATCTGTCAGTGACCTCCAATGCTTATAACAGGGTAAAAATGAAAACATTTTCAGTGCGTTATCATCTAAGGGCTTCCAGTCTCTAAAATTCATGTGGTTGGGATACATAGGGTTACAAATTGACAAAATAAATCTAATGATAAATATACAAGTATTTCCTCCTTTACCATATCTTGTACTTACATTTGATACAGGTAGTGATAATGAAATTATAATTTTAGTTTCATGGATCAACTTTTTTGAAACAAAGCAGGAGATTAAGTTGTTTTTAACAGGAATTGTTTTAAAACTTTTATAATGAAAAGGGAGGTAACTTAATTTTTTTTCTTTACCTTCAAGTACAAAATTGAATTGTCTCCCTTTCATTAGCAAGTTACTAAAATTATTCAATGCAGTTGCATTCATACTTATTCTATAGTGTCTAAGAAATAATTTTTTTTGTTCATTAAAATGAAATGAATCTTAAGCATCAGTGTGGACTTGAAGCTTGAAGAATGTTGGTTATCTCGGATCTCCATATTTCATTAGACATCTAGAAGTTTCTCATACAAAGAATGTCACCCAAGTACACAGTGTAGATTTACTGAACACCTGCTACAGAAATACACAACATTCCTACACAGAGCTGGGTTAATGTCAATGGTGTCAATATCAAACTGTCATCATCAGTACAACTTGTTATCTGTTCTGAATGTAGAATTACAGTTACTTAAATTGAATACATTATAAAGGACTTTGTAAAAAATTAAAAAAAATCTTTTTCTATTTGCTATTTCTCAAAACTGATCATACTACACCAAATGTATTTATCGAACAAAACACCACAAAATTTCAAAAGTCCGTAGACAGTATATGGTATGTATATCTATAATTCAAAACCTATCTGTCAAACAAATATATAGATGAATGAATGTACAGTAAGATGTTTCTGATAAAAAATTACAGAAAAGTTAGACATAAGATTCAGTATATATATGTAGGAATCAGTGATTGAAGAGTGACACACAACATCTTACAATTAATTACAGACTAGATGTAAATCTATTATTTCTTTTTAATCTATTTATTATATTTGTAGTCAGCTTATATTTGTTGTTTATACAATAAGCAATCATTTCTATTACATTTGTAAATAAACACTTGAATACATTCATGTAAAGTTATTTTTAAATGACCTCTCTATTATAATGTAGTTATTTAGTATTGGTATAATAATTATACAATACAATAAAACAGACTACAATGTTACTTACCAGTCAGAGAGTCTGTATCTACCACTCTGTATAGGTTGACTGTGTTGTTGTTGCCCTGTGCCCCTACCCACAGTAGGTGAGTTTTATCATCATAACTCAGGCCCCGTGGACTGTCTATCCCGTGTTGTGGTGTCTTTATCTCTGTCAGATAGTGACCGTCACTATCTAACATCTGTACTGACCGGGTTCTCCAATCACACAGCAGGATGTGTGACAGCGCGTCAGTACAGATTCCACATGGATATAGTCCTGATCCTGATGGAGGACCTGTGTAGGAGAATCGGTAATTACCGTCACGATCTGTCACCACTACAGCATAACGCGACGAGTCAGACACAATAACATCTCCATTGCGGTTCTCTGTGATGTAGAAAGGATATCCATACAGTCCCTGACCTGTGTTGTGGTGCTGTATGGTCTGGATGTTTTCTCCTGTGGAGTTCTGCACTACCTTGCCTGTATATGTATTATTAGTATAGTAAGACATCCCGACCAGCAGGTCTCCAGTGGAGGGGGAGCTGTAGACACACTCTGGTCTCCATGGTGATGTGTTGTACTTTATTATCGTAGTCTTTTCTTTGTTTTCTGTAGACAGTTTATTGATGTTTAATTCCCCGTCTATAAAAATTAGATCACCATAAGTGTCCACAGTGTGTCCTCCCCATACATCACTACCTATAACTGTCACGCCATCTAGTTCTTCACCTTTTGTGTTTGTCAGTATAAGATTGCCATAACTATCATTGATCCAGACCCGGTTTGTAGACACACGGGAAATGTGATGACCCTCCCTAACACCATACACGGTGACAGATTTCTGGTACAGTCCTCTATACATTATTGACAGCAGAAGTCTATTTCTTTATCCTGATTTTTTATAACAGACTTCCGTGTGGATTTCCTAGTCAGGGGAGATCTCTATGTAAATTACAACATTGTAACAGAATTATCTTCATCAGTTAAATCTTTCTATTTACAATGTACTCAGTGAATAACATGTATTTATATTAAAGTTTTGATTTTTAGAACTTAAAGCACACAATAAATACCTTGATACTTAGTGCTGAATTCTTTCTTTTCTTTGTATAGCAGGGTCCTTGTACTCACAGTGAAGTCTGTTTTAAAATCAATATTTAAAAATTAAAACTTCAAAAAAGAAATAGAGCAGTCATTCAAAATTCTTCTACAGTGCATGAAATGCAAAATATTTTAAATGTAAACTTGACTTCAAATAGTTCCACTTCTTTATAAATAAACTTTATATCCAAATTTACAAATTGCATAAAATCTTAATAACCTTTACTTTAAATAAATATATTACAGTTTTAAAAAACTTTTCTTTTAATTCAAATATCCATTTATAAAGTAACAACAATGTGCAGCATTAAATGTAGATATTTGTGATGATGTATCACACTGTATAGATATGTATAATCTACAGTGTGTTGGTACACCGTTATACAAAGTAACAGAGAAATGTTTACCACACTGATGTCTTGTGTCTTGTAACAACGGCAAGGTTTCTATTCCTCTTGGTTTGTGTCTTTATGTCTTGTAAAAAGAAAAAAAGCATTTTTATTTATCATTCTAAAGAAACATGTATTCAATTAATTGACTTTATTTCATCTTCATTTTGATATTTCACAAGTCTTGTATTATCTCTTAAGAGCCCAAGGACATTATTCCTTCCTTATGCCTTCTTAACATTGAATTTTGAAAATTTTGGCCTGAGAAACAACAAGAGGCCCATGGGCCACATCGCCACATCGCTCACCTGAGCACTCAAGGGTAGGAAAAAGTAGAAAATGGCTTTTTATTGTAAAGTTTAAATCCAAAAGTAGTACCATGACCAATCATGGATTTGCTATTTTTTAGAAAATGATTTTTGAAGAATTTTCCTATATATATCTTTAAAAATTTTGGTCGGCCATTTTGGCCCCGCCCTACCCCTGGGTGTCATGATTTAAACAAACTTGAATCTACACTACTTGAGCATGCTTCCATATATATACACGTATAATGAATTATGGCTTTGTCATTCTTGAGAAGAAGATTTTAAAAAGAATTTTCCTATATATTTCTATGAAAAACTTGGTCAGCCATTTTGGCCCCGCATACCCCGGGGGTCATGATTTGAACAAACTTGAATCTACACTACCTGAACATGCTTCCATATAAATATGATGAATTATGGCTTCGTCATTCTTGAGAAGAAGATTTTTTAAAGAATTTTCCTATATATTTCTATGTAAAACTTTGGTCGGCCATTTTGGCCCCGCCCTACCCCCGGGGGTCATGATTTGAACAAACTTGAATCTACACTACCTGAGCATGCTTCCATATAAATATGATGAATTATGGCTTTGTCATTCTTGAGAAAAAGATTTTTAAAGAATTTTCCTATATATTTCTATGTTAAACTTTGGTCGGCCGTTTTGGCCCCGCGAAAATTGAAAAGTAACTGACGGCATTGGTATTTGTGATCATAAACTTTGTTTTTTACTCTTTTGATTTAAACAAAGGGATTGTCGAAATGGGGAAAAAGGCTTGATGAGTTGTTATGCATGTTTTGCTTCAAAATATAGGAAATCATCACTAGCGACATCAATCAGACTTACAGAATAAAGAATGTAAATAAGATATATATCTAAATGGATGGTTTCAGCAATTTTGGGCGGATGATTGGTCACCGAATGATCAGCAGAGGACAAGAAAACTGAGAGATAGAGATCGGACGAAAACGTTCAATGGTATCTGACGTTGTCAAAAAAAAAAGACAGACGTATAGAGTGACATGTGAATTTTTAAGTTTGTCTTATCCTTCTGTTCAAAACATTTTGACAGATGCCTTAATTATGAAAAGAGTGAGTGAATAATGGTACCAAGTATTCTTAAAGAAAGTGGAATTAGTGAACGTATTTACGAATCACAAATATTCTTGAATGAAACGAAAGGGAAATGCTTAAAAGTATGACGGTGTGTATCCGTCATATGACGTTATATTTAGGTGCAGCGACTACCATGAACGCGCATTGTTTAAAATCCGATATTTTGACAAGTATACACCATATTCCTTTTAATATTTCAGGTCTAATTTGAAATAAGTAAAGCTTTCATCATGTTTAATTTTGTTGCTTTACGTCGATTTATAGTAATTTTATCAAAGTTGTGACATTACTTTTATAACCCTTGATATGCACGCCAATTAACG